AGACTAAAGTCCTTAAAACATGACTAGTAGAAAAACATACCAAAATATAATACCAGATTCCTTTTCCTTTTTGCTCCCAATTTCCCTGGTTGGCAAGATGGCAGAGTGCTGCAGCAACAGCATATTGGCAGCAGTGAAAAGAATCGACTGCTTTTGGACACTACAATATTAATCCTTCACCTAAGGAAAATTACTAGTTTCCTGGCCAGTGTTTACTTTAAAGGCAAAAGCAGTGAAAGCAGTAAAGGGTTAATGTGAGTTAATAAGCATTAGGGAAGATTTATCCAGGAATCAGATATACTACTCTCTCTGAAAAACCAGGAAATGAAATCCCTAGAAATACTCCAATACCCCTCTTCAAGCTGTTTAATTTTTTCTCCATTACTAGACAATATTTCAACAGATATTCCCACTAATTACTCTAACCATAATTTTTTTTTTTTTTTGAGACAGAGTCTCACTCTTTTGCCCAGGCTAGAGTGCCATGGCATCAGCCTAGCTCACAGCAACCTCAAACTCCTGGGCTCAAGCAATCCTTCTGCCTCAGCCTCCCAAGTAGCTGGGACTATAGGCATGTGCCACCACGCCCGGCTAATTTCTCTATGTATTTTTAGTTGTCCAATTAATTTCTTTCTATTTTTAGTAGAGATGGGGTCTCGCTCTTGCTCAGGCTGGTTTCGAACTCCTGAGCTCAAACAATCCGCCCGCTTCGGCCTCCCAGAGAGCTAGGATTACAGGCGTGAGCCACCGCGCCTGGCCTATAGCTATAATTCTTACATTTAGGTCTTTGATCCATTTTTAGTTAACTATTGTATATAGTGTGAACTATCGGACTTGGAATTCAAACAATGAGATTGATTGTCTTTTACTTTTGTAGCTGAATGCTTTCCAGGACTACACAACACTCCATAACATAATCTGATTTATAACACCTCTGCTCTATATAGCCCTATGTGCTTGAATTTAAATACCCATCAAAGAAGAGAGTTCAAACTTCCACAACCTCCAACAGCCTCAGAGAGCCTGGGGTCTAAATCACCTAGAGCTTCTATTTAACAAAATTTTCAATATGATGTTATGCAATTAAATGTTCATGTGTATATGAAAAACAAGCCAGTAGCTTCCAGAAATAGGCTGAATAATGATGTGTGAGGTAAACTGCAAGACTGGGAATTTCCTATTTGCCCTAAAAACCAAATGGGCAGAAAGTACAGTCCTTGACTGGATCCTGATTTTAATAAGCCAGCTGTAAAAGGTATTTTAGAGACAATTAGGTAAATTTTAATACAAATTAAGTATTACATGATACTAAGGAATTATTTGTGCAAACGTAATAGTGATTCTGAGGTTATATATGAAAAGGCTCTTTTCAAAAGAGATACATGATAAAGTATTTAGGGATAAAATGTCAGGTTGCCTGTAACGAACTTTAAATTACTGCAGAAAACAAAATAGATAAAGCACATGTAGCAAAATGTTAACAACTCTTAAATATTTAAATAATGATAATAATCTCTTGTCTGGAAGAGTAGGAGTTTAAAATCAAATGTAGAGTTAAGAAAATATGCAAAAGTGGTCTAAATTTAGGGAAGAGTAGGGCTTTGTAGAGTAGGGAGTGGTACTGGAGCTAGGGAACTTTGACAGTCCTTAGGCATTAATCAGAATTACTCATAATTCATAAAATTTACTGAAAGTTGGATAAAATTTAACAAGCTCCATAAAGGTACGAACCAAGTCTTGTACTCAAGGCTGCATCCCCAGTACCTAGTAAAATCAATGTCTGTTATTGGTTGATGCTCAATAAATATGTTGAATAAATGAATGAAGGAAGACATAAATATTTCTCTCCCATAAGTGGCCAAATATTTGCATTTATACTCTGCTTCCAAAATGGTTTTCAAGACCAAAATGGTTTTGAAGAAGTTTATAATATTAACTGGGTCAAATTTTTAAATTATAAAAACAACTAGAATGAGACTAGATTTCTGTAATGAGCTAGTTACTGAAATTAAATATTGAATTTTATTTGAGCTGCCTAGAAGCTAATATAAAAAAGAAAATGGCTTCATTATTAGATAAAAAAAGGTAAACAAAAACTTCTGGAGATAAAAAGCTGCTGCTGGGGACAGTGGCACATACCTGTAGTCCCAGCTACTCAAGAGGCTGAGGCAGCAAGATCGTTTGAGCCCAGGAGTTTAAGACCAACCTAAGTAACACAGGCGAGA